CCACAGGCAGGCACAAAAAACTGTGGGAGCAAGAGCAATTTCCAACTTCCTGCTGGTTTCCCCATTGAGTTTCTTTGCGGGAATCTGGCAGGGAGCATCAGAAGTCTTTCCTCCTCCCTTTGATTCCCTTCTTCCCTTCCTCCCCTCTTCCTTCCTTCCTTCCTTCCTTTTCTTTCCTCCTTTTCTTCCTTCTTCCCTCCTTTCCTGTTCCTTCCTCCCCTCCTTCCTCTCCCTCCCTCCATTCCTTCTTGCCAAGGTTGAAAAACAACTGTTAAAGCAACACACATAAGTAGGCTTATTTGACCATTATTACATACTTATTAAATTTCTCCTGGCTAATAATGAGATTTTTGAAGGTTAGCATGTGCAAACCAACCCTGAACAATTCACTGTGCATAAACAGAAAATGGCTAAATGCAGTTCTACTTTTTAAAAATGCGTATGCATTGTGCAAAGGCAGCCAATTCATCACTCTTTAACAGCCAAGCAAACCTTTCCCTAACACCAACATTAAAAAAAACACCAACAACAACATTTAATAAATGAGGACTATTTGCACACCCAGTTCAGCTTTGTGACATTCGTTTCTTCTATTGATCGGGTGTTATTTATGGCAATTTAACAACACAGCATATTGTTGGCTTCTTCCCCAACGAGGTTTCAGAGTCTATAATAGAAAGAGCAATCATCTCAAAAGGGATCTTGGAGGTTTTAGCTGTGCCACAGTGTCACAAAGAGTTGCGGTGAATTCCATCGGCTGGGTTTGGAAGCATCCAGATGGCAGACAAAGGAAACAAACGAGGGCAAGAAAAACAGAGCAGATTTTCTGCCAAATCTGTCCGAAGCAGGGCTCTCCAACCTTGGCAGCTTTTCAGACTTGTGAACTTCAACTCCCGGAGTTCCTCAGCCAGTTTTGCTGGGAGTCGAAGTCCACAAGTCTCAAAGTGACCAAGGTTGGAGACCTCTGGTCTGAAGGGCTTGGCAAACGCTTGCCAACATTTGGCCATCCGCTCTCTTCAATCCTCCCCATCCCTTAATTACCCCGCAGGCAAATAAGGAACCATTACAAGATGGCAAGAAATCCAGGAACTTCAAATACGGTAAGTAGCATTTATTGAAGAAAGGCAGGAGCCATTATGAACGATGCTCATCTATGGTTCAAAACCAGGCCCTCTGCACAGGAGGCCTGTTCAATTTTTTTTCTGTTTTGCTTCCTTCCTGCCTGCCTTAGAGAAACAACTATTTGGCCCCCACAAGACTTGGTTTGACTTCATCTGTCCCCCATTTTCATAATGGTCAAATTTATTCTCATCTTTTTTTTTTTCCACCAACACTAAATGGCCCTCGAGGGCCCCCAACATGAAACAAATATATTTGGGAGACAAACACTTGTGAGACAGCCAAAGTAATCGAGATTCCCGCTCCTATGTGAGAACTGGCAGGTTGCCTGTTCTCAAAAGGAAGCAACACCACGGTCATTCTGGTATCAGCTTCAGAACATTTTTACTAAGATCCATGAAAATGGTTCAGAGCTTATCAGAAAAGATGACATAAGTAGTGGCAATTGGGGGGGGGGGGGGGGGGTGAGCAAATTCCCCAAATTTGAGCATATTTTTCAAATGAATTTGGGAGCAGAATGCATTCATCAGTGGCAACCTGTCAAAAGGATTGCTTTGTGAAAATAGAAAGAAACAGGACTTGAATAGTCAACCAATTCTCTCTGATTATTAGAACCAGTACGATCCTGATTTGCAAGCACCCCTATTCCAAGGCAGGAGGATTCATAATTAGAGGTTGATAGGCTAACACAGAGCCCGATTGGTGCAGTCTGTAAAGACACCAGGCTGGAAACCAGGAGACTGTGAGTTCTAGTTGCATCTGAGACACAAAGCTGGTTGGACAACCTTGGGCCAGTCACCGTCTCAGCCCTAAAGAGGAAGAAATGGCAAACCACTTCTGAAAAACCTTATCAAGAATATTGCATGGACTCATCCATGCAGCTGAAAGGTGTTGACACCAATTCAATGTGGTATGTGTACACACACACACACTCACAGGGAGAGAGAGAGAGAGAAACTAGCATAAGAAACGGCTAGCCTTCAAGTATCTGTGTCAGCTCTGAAAGCCATAATAGCACCAGAAGCTTCCATGCTGCCACATTCCTGTGCCTGGGACATTGAGAGGGGGGATTTGGTAGAGTGTATGTAGTTGGACATAATAGCATTTTTCCTTGGCAGTCAAGGTCATGTCTTTCCTGCACGTGGAGGAGGAGTGGTTAGGAGATGTCTCTAGTTGGGATGGATGGTGATTGGACCATGTGATGGACTGATGAGTGCAGGGGATGGGTTTGTGTTTTGGATTACTGTGGGGAAAACCTGGAACTCTCAGATTTGGGCTTTCCCAGATGTGCCAGTATGACTACTCTAGTAAAATGGAACTTTGAGAAAATGCCTGCCTCAGAGTTTTGGTGTTGGGAGTTTGATTTTTCTGGAACGTTGACAATCTGACTCTAACCTAAAAAAGATCCCTTTGATTTATATCACGTGTGTCAAACTGGTGGCGTCACGTTGCTGTCATGTGACATATCGTGACAGTTTTTCCCTTCGTGCAGCTGGGGTGGGCGTGGCTTATGTGTGATGCATCTGGTGTGACACCCTGATTTATACCATGAAGGAGTGGTGCTTCCACCATCTTGACCAGTTTGCTGCTTCATTCAGGTCAACTGTAGCATCCAAAGACTTCATTGCAACAGCCCAAAGAGATGCAAAATCATATATGAATTACATAGTTGGACGGTGTCCTTCATCAAGTGAAACTTTTTTTTACATCTTATGCCTAATTCACTTAGGAATCAGAAAATGGGATGCTTTTCTCCATTTCAAATGCTTAAATTAAACCTTATAAAACACACCTTTTGATTTCCCCAAACCGGACGCCCATCTCAACCATGATGTGAAAGTTTCTGTTGCAGGTGGATCAGAAGAGAGCTGAAAGGGGCAGGTGTGGAAACCCAGCCCAGAGACCACAGGGCTACCTGTGAATCAGACATTAGAGTCTGATCCTGGCTTTCACGCCCTTAAGGAAAGCTTTTTCTGTCTGTGCCAGCTCCAACAGAGATTGGTATCTCAATTTTCATGATGTCTAAGTTGACCATAAAATGTTCAGAGGCTCCAAACCAAAGAGATTACTTCCAAAGTACCAGGGGGTAAAATGGAAAATCCATTTTTTTAAAAAAAATCTTATTAAATTTAACAGTCTGCCAACTTCTGTAACAACTCTAATGAATAGTAAAATCATTCCTAAAATACAGTTAAAAAACTCAGATGTCTGATAGACCAAATTCAGTTCAAAGTGATGCAATAGACAGGACTCATTCTAACCCAAGATCTGGGGGGGGGGGGGACAGGGGACAAGGCCAGGTTTCCGGGGCTCATTTAAATAATGCCAGGGCGCAGGGGGAACCAAATGCATCTCAGGGAGGGGTGCTGTAAGAGAAAAACGTCTTAGGGGAAGAGCTACAGGTTTAGCTTTGCAGTATCAAAGAAATTGTTTCCTTCACAAGAAACACATCAAGCAGGAATATCACTCCTCCAAAATTAAAGGGGGGGTGTTCGTGCACATTGATGCTTTGGTGTAAATATCCTTCCAAAAGCAAGGCCTCTGGCAAGGAGATGCATCTGGTAGGTGTTTCATCATCTGTGTAATCACATTCATATTTGGCACACCGGCACACTTTTTCTTTCGTGAGCTCAAGCTGGGAAGAACCTGTTCGAAATCATGCAGTGGTTTTGTCTCGTAAGAGCTTTTAGGATGACTTCTTCCTTCCTTCCTTTCTTCTTCTCTTTCCCCTCCCTTTTCTGCTTCCATCCTCCCTCCCTCCCTTTTCCCTTTCTTTCCTTCCTTCCTCTTTCTCTTCCCTCTTTTCTCCTGCCTTCCCTTCCTCCCTCCCTCTTTCTCTTTCCCTTCCCTTCTTTTCTCCTTCCTTCCTCCCTCCCTCCCCGCTCTGTCTCATATACACACACACATATATGCATATTTTCCACTTCCTAAAACAAGTGCTTTATTCAGATGCAGATACATTACAGATGTTCATGGACAAATTAATGGATGGGTCAATGAATTATGCTAAGGCGATAACATGGCCTGCTTGTGGTTTAAAATAAAGTTGGCTATGGATTAGCACAATGCATGAAAACACATGGTGTTCATAACCTAAGTTGGGTTTAGCTGCTTAAAATACTCTACACCAGGGGTGTGCAACCTTGGCAACTTTAAGACTTGTGGACTTCAACTTCCAGAATTCCTCAGCCAGCAAAGCTGGCTGAGGAACTCTGGGAGTTGAAGTCCACAAGTCTTAAAGTTGCCAAGGTTGGAGACCCCTGCACTAGACTGTTGCCATATGGCACAGGGCAAAGGGAAGAATGCAAACATGCGCTGAGTATCAAAGTTGCATCAGTGTGACTGCACACCTACTTGTCCTATTAGGTAAAGCTGAGTGATTCTAGACAAGGTAGACAATCTTCAATTTCATTAGGAAAACTAATACTGTAGATTGGAATAGAGATACATCAGCAGAACCAGCAACATTTGCTCCAGTTTTAAGAGATTGAAACAAACCTCCAGACTCTTTTATGGTCGCTATAAATATTTGTGTAATGTAACAGGAATAACTATGATATTCTCACCTATAAAAGATGGTTTATTGAACATCGTCAAACACTAATAACAGCTATTAGGGACTCTTTCTGTAAATTACATAAAACTCAGCAAAGAGAATTATATGGCTTTTAAGACATACCTAAAAGCAATTGTCATCTAATAAAATGAAAGGAATTGATGGAATGCCTTTTCTGTATTACAGAGTAATAGGCCAAGCACAACCTCAAAATAGTCCTATAATTGTCATTAAATCAATGTCGTTTGCCCTTATCTGCCGTATTTCCTGTTAAGCTAGAAATGCTTTTCCATCGTTTTGCCATAAATGTCAGAAATGCACTTACCTCTCCAACTCATATTCTTTCATGCCAGGTTTTACGGCCTTCATTACCTATAGTCACAAAAGCAGGTATAGTATAAGAAATTTGGCCATTCTTCAGAAGTAGGGCCGCTCTGCAGCAGCTACAGTCCCTCAACTCTAGAATAATGTCTGCTGCAAAGCACTGATGAAAATATTCATCAGCTACAGTAAAAACTACAGCAGCACAAAAAGAGCAAGAACTCTTGCTCGCATCTCAAGAGCTAAGTGATTAAGTTCCAGAGATCCCAACAGAGACCAGAATAAGAAGGAGCTTTCAAGACAGCTTGTTCCTTTATGTTCTGAATCGACTGTTTGCACATCTTCAACGTCTAATTCAAAAATCTGAATTGTAGGTCAAACAAAAGATCAGATAGGTCTAAATCTACCATACTGCATCACAGAGACTGTCTTAAAGAAGCCACTGCAAGAACAGGCAAACTTGGAAATAAGCCCTTATGGGCCACAATATAAGCAATGCTAGTCATGTCCTTGCTTTTGCCATTGTGGGAAGAGGTCATTTGCTGGCCCAGGAGATAAGGAAACAAACGTGATTTGAACAGTCATTATATCATCCTAATCATGTGCCAGCCCCACACCTCACAATATTTGTCATCTTCGCATCACATACCAATTGTGTACACTTCATGTTTCCCCACTGAAGTGAACACAATTTGCAAATGATGGGAAGACGGCCAGGATTTGGATGAAAACCGGGGACAAAAAAAAATTAAACTCTCCCAACTATCCTGTCCACCTATTGGGGCTGGTTCCTTTGAAGCTCCGTGAAATTATTTTGGAATAGGACAAAACGGCAGATAATCAGCGTGATTCTGCGAAAACCTCAAAAGCAAAGTTTTCCCCTCTGTAGCTGACTGGAGTTATAGACACAAAGATGATTCAACTGCCTGCAGAGGAAACAGCTGCATCCAGGGAAATCTAGGAAGAGTTCAAACCAGGAGATTCCTCCTGGCTTCTCCCCATTATATTGCAACCAACGGGTCAGTGCAATTCTCCTTCCAGCGCTCTCTCTTGAACATCCAAGAAAATTGCAAGTCTAAATGCCTCTGTATCATTTAGCTGACTCAGAAAGCTCTACAGGTGATCAAAGCACCCAGTTAAAAACCATCAGAGCAAATGGCCGCAGAAGAAACAGGCCCGGGGAGCGGCGTTCACTAGCATCCTGGAACAGCTTTCTGTGGTGCTGAGGGAAGTCAGTCCTCTCTCGCTTTCTCAAAGCGGCCTGACGAGTTTTAGCCCAAGCTCCTCATTACTCCATTATTAAGCAATTCAAGTAGCTGAGAACATTTTTCTTGGGGTAAAAAAGGGTGATGTTACACAAAGAAAAAGAAAAATTATTATGAAGAGATCCATTACCTCTTTATGAGCTTCACTGGAAATTTTATTGGTGTAGCGGAGGACTTCCAATTCCATGTCCGTCTTAATGACACGGCTTCAGAGAGAAAGAGGGAAGAGGAAAATCAGGTTAACGGTTTCCCCTACAGCTCACAAGTGATTAACTGGAAAGTACAAAGAACAGCCAGGTAACTGAACTTGCAAACGAATAAAACTATTATATGAGATTTCAGCAAATAAAAGACGTTAGGAAACAGAATTTATCCAGTAAATGTACCAAGAAGTGTTTGCAGGTCTGTCATAACAGGTCACACTAGGCCATACTAATTCTAGCACAGAATTGGAGAGTGGTATTTTTAAGAAGAGATTGGACAGTCAAATTATATAGGCACAGGGAAGTGGTGGGATTCAAATTTTTTTACTACCGGTTCTGTGAGCGTGGCTTGGTGGGCGTGGCAGGGGAAGGATACTGCAAAATCTCCATTCCCTCCCCACCCCACAAGCCTGCTTTCCAGCTCCGTTCTCCTGGGCAGGGCAACCAAAGAAGACCCAGCCGATCAGCTGGGACTCAGTGGGAGGCAGAGAAGAGATGGGGTTGGTGGAGGCAGTCAGAGGCGGTATTGGCCGGTTCTCCCAACTACTCAAAATTTCTGCTCTGATTTCGTTGGCAGAGGCCTGCAGGAAGCGGTCTGAGAGCTCTATTTTCGCTGGTGGAGGGCTGCAGGAGACCATCCTGGTTGAAAACGGGGCCCTGGGCGGGCCGCGAACGCCTGAGCTCCATTTTCGCTGGCAGAGGACCACACCCACCCCGTCCCAGCCACGCCCACCATCAAACACAACCCTGTGGTGGCCCTCAAAGAAATCAAGTTTGACACCCTGATATAGGGCCTCCTGCTTGTGCAGGGAATTCAACCAGAAGACCCACAAGGTCCTTGATAAGTTCTGTCTTTTTGGAACAGTATTTCTTAGGTTCCAAAGCAAAAATGCATCCTTGGGCTTTTTAGTATTTTCCAGGCATGTCGGATTAGAATTCTCATGATTTTACTCTCGCCGTGGGAAGTACAGCCCAACACGTCTGGAAGATGCCATCTCGGAAATGCTTGCAAATGATGGGATGCAGAGACTTGGAAGCACTGCACTTTAATCCAGACTAGGGGCAAGTCCAAAGAATTACCTGGACGCACCTGATTGGACAAATGCACTGCCATGAATGCTGTGGCTCCACTAGGTTCAATTCAGTTTTACAGGAAGAAGGAAAAAGAAATATTATGCATGAAAGAGGGAAGGATGCATTTCACATGCTATGCACTCCTTTATTGAAAGGATGAGAGAAAAGACATACAGGCTTAATTTCCAGGGCTCTCAAAGTAAACTCATACAAATGTGTAGAGCAGGGGTGTCCAACCTTGGCAACTTTAAGACTTGTGGACTTCAACTCCCAGAATTCCTCAGCCAGCAAAGCTGGCTGAGGAATTCTGGGAGTTGAAGTCCACAAGTCTTAAAGTTGCCAAGGTTGGACACCCCTGGTGTAGAGTAATCTTTAAATAGTTTACAAGAGCAGACAAGCCCCTCCTTTCTTCTCTTGCATGAACTATGGCCCCCAATTAGAATAAGCAGAGATTTCTGGTCTGCCTGCTACCTTTCATTATGAAATGCCCAATAACAATTACTGCAACATCCCGGATGTCTCTGATTTTCTATGGGAAATCATCACTTCTCTGCCAAGGAAGACTCAAAGTCCCTGCCTTAAATGACGCAGAAGACATTTGTAAAGCAATCGCTCACAACTGCTGCAGAAACAAGGCAGCTAAAACCAATATCAGTTTATCACAGTTTATCAGTTTATCACAGAAAGGACCCAACATTGGCAGGAAGAAAAACCCTGCAGAATTCCTCTGATGCATTTCAAACCTGGCAAAATGGAGTTCTCAGACTTAAGAAATCTTTCCTGACCGTATTATTTCCTGATAAAATAGATCCCAGGTAATCTACCCGCTCAGAACGAAACTACAATTTTTGCAGAAATTTCTGTATGTCCTAATCAGATACATACAATATTTTTTATCAAAGTGTTTTCTAGAAAAAGAGTGTTTTAAAAGTACAATTCCCTTTTTGTTACTGCAAAAAAGCAGTTATGCCAGAAACACATACCCCCCAAGTCAAGAGCCAGAGGGAAAGGTTGATATTAAAAATGTGCAGAACTTGGTGATTCCTCACAAACTATAGTAATTTTATCTAGATCTCAGTAATAGTAGGGCTGGCCTTCCTGGCAGATTTGTTTCAAGGGTGGAAAGAATTCGATAAATGTTTACAGATAGTCCTCGACTTACGACTATAATGGAGCCTGCCCATTACGATGGTCAGTCATGACAGCTGCAAAGTGAATCACTCACATGACCAATCCACAGAGTCCACATTGTTCTATGTAGCAAACCTATACCATCACAAGTAGTACAGTACAACACAAGGATAGCTGAGTCACACAGAAACCAAAGTCAATCAAGCACTTCCATATTTTCAGAGGCATAACAGTTGAGCAGCGAGTTGTATTGGGGGTAAGGATTTCTCTTTTACACTCCAGAATGATCTGCCTGAATTCCCTTCAGGTGCCTGTACCAACTTCCCAGAATTCCCAGGAATTCTGAAAACATCAGGAGTCTACCGGATTGGGGAGGTTTCAGAGAAATAACTATAGATTAGGGGTGTCAAACTCAAGGCTCGTGGGCCAGAACTGGCCTGTGGGATGTTTAGATCTGGCCCATAGGGCCACCCTGGAAACAGGGAAGGACCGGCCTGAGGTGCCTCTGCCAGTGAAAAAGGAGCTTGGGAGGGCCACGCATGGACCTTCCAGGCTCTGTTTTTGGCCACGTGTGGCCCTCCATGCTCTGTTTCCACTGGCAGAGGGATGCAGGAGGCTGTCGTGGCCAAAAACAGAGCCTCCACGAGTGAGGCTGAGCTGGACACGCCTCTGCCCCCCCCCAGGTCAAACACAACCCTGGTGTGGCCCTCAATGAAATCAGGTTTGACACCCCTGGCACAGGTGGCGGCAGGCTTCCGATGGAGTTTAATGTTCTCCATGCAACCTCTCTTGCCATGACTCTATAGCTGTCAAAGGCTGCCAAAAGGCTCGTATTAAAGTGGCCGTCCTCCAGGACTCGGGGATCCGTCTCGCAGTTACTGCGGTTGTGTCAGGGACTGCCTAGTCTAACCCCGAGTGTTTGGTTTCTCCTTCTGAAGCGCGAGGCCTGGCTTCTCTCACCCCTGAAATCAAGGCTCCCCGTTGGGTCTCCCATTCTGGCTCAAGCTATTGGGGAATGCCAGGTGCTTCAGGTCTGGATGACAGACTGAGTACCCCAATTAAAGGGTGGGTGTGACTTGGCACGGCACACCCACCCTTTAATTGGGGTACTAAGTCTTGGCATGTGTTGACTTGGCACGGCGCATGTTCTTTCATCCGAGCATAGATTCTAATTATGCTCAGGCACCAGGTTCAGGCATGACACTAAGCAATAATGTGGCTCAGTGAAGCCAGTCCCCGAGTCAGACGTTGGGCTCACTGATCCAGCTACACCCCAGGCAGCTTCTGCACTTTCCAGACAACCTGAAGAAGAGAGGAAGATGAGGAGCATGTCCATTCCTTACAAGGCACTATGCTTAAGCAGCCCAAAAACATTGCCGTTGTTTACAACTGTTTCCCATAAAAGGCTGGGCTTGGATTTGCTTTCTGTCTACATTGTGAACTTCCAAGGACGAGTTTCCTTATGGATGCCCTTGTACCGATTCTGAATTGATTTTAAATCCTTCAAAGTCTTGGTCCCCTCTGCACAGGGGCACTTTGAATTCAGAGATGACTCCTGTTCCTTCTGCACAACCCCTGGGCTCAAGCCAGACATCAAGGGTCACGAGTCTTAATGGACACCCTCAGAATTTTGAAAGGGGCTCTCCCAAAATGGATTTATCAGGCAGAGTACGGACACAAAGTTGGTGAGATTATCCACAGAATCTCTTCCACACCTCCCAGGGGCCTCCTTTCTTTTGCTCACAACTTTTGTGTGGCCCTGAGCTTAGGAAAAGGTACACATAACGTCTAGGAATATTTAAAAAAGAACCTCCAACTCCCATCAATCAAAGGCTTCCCTGCAGATGCAAGGACGCAACTTGCCTCCAAGAAAACGTGAACTTTATTCATCTCAACAAGAGGCGCTGCAGCAACCCAGAACTCCAAAAAGAAGAAACGGACAACCTGTTCAATGTCTTCCAAAATAATGGCGACCCATGTACAAGTAGTCCTTGACATACGACCACAAGGAGGCAAGGCGTTGCTAAGCAAGGCTGTTAAATGAGCTATGCTGCCTTTTACAATTGTTTTGCCTTGGTTGTTAAGCAAATCACTGCAGGTGTTAAGTGCATCATGTGGTTGTTAAGCAAATCATTGACTTTTGCTTGTCAGAAGCTGGCTGGGTAGGTCACAAATGCCGAACACGTGACCCTGAGAGTCAGCAACCGTCATAAACACATGCCAGATGCCACGCACTCAAATTTTGATCATGCGACTGTGGGGATGCTTCAACAGTCGTAAGTCTCAGTCATAAGTCACTTTTTTCAGTGTTGTTATAAGTTTGAACAGTCACTAAATGAATGGTTGGAAGCCAGGGACTGCCTGTATGCACAATCCTTCACAACAGGGGAGTCAAACTCACGGCCCGCAGGCCGGATGCCTCACACGTTGGCCACGCCCACGCCCAGTTTAGCAAAGGGGGGGGGGAGTCACAATACATCTCATGATGCCGCCGTGATGACACGAGTTTGACACTCCTGCAATACAACGTTCAGCCTGGGAACAAAATGTCTGCAGGGAAACAACCAGCCTTAGAGAAGACCAAGGACCTGAGAATATTCATGGAATATGCTATCAAAACCAGACTGCAAAAACCATAGAAACAAGTCAAGATCACCACAAGGGACAGAACGGGCCAACTCGCCACAGCCAACTCGCTGCAGGACAATTCAACAATTCAATTTAATGATTTAAAATAGTTCTACATTTTTTTTAAAAAAAAATTGTCATTCACATTTTATTTTGTCCTTCCTTTGGCATCCTTTCTTTAATGATTCTATTTCTTCAATATTAGTGTAACTCTTGCCCGCAGCAAGTTGTTCCCTAGCAAGTTGGCCATGGTGAATTGTTCCATGGCAAGTTGGCCATGGCAAGTCATTGTAAACCCCACAAAGGAAGAAAGGCAGATCCACCAGAAAAAAAAAGAGCCCATCATTGAACAGCCTTGTTCAGTTCACCAAACTCCTTGACCAGATAAGCAGCCAGTTTAACCAAGTCACTGATCTGGTTTGATATTGTGGCCTGTCAGCCTCCAGCTCCTCCAGCGGCTGAATCAGAAGCTGCGGAGGAGACGTGAGATTCAGGGTCAGCATCCAGGCAACCTGAGAGCTCTGCAAGGGAAGAGGGAATGGATCTGGCAGAGAGAGAGAGACAGAGGCAGAGCCTGGGCCACCTGTCAGCTCTCAGATGGAGAGTCAGCAGTCCCCAGGTCTGGAGGTGGCTGATGAGGAACAGGAAGCACAGCTGGGTCCAGGGCCTGATGTGCAGATGCACAGAAGGCAGAGGAGAGGAGAGCAGTGGAAATCTATGGGCCGGTCCTTGGAACGGAAGAGCCCCAGCTGCTAGCGAAGTCCCACCCTAACTCTGGGGATAAAAGACGGGGGGGCGGAGATGAATAGATGTGGGAGACAACTATTCATCTTCCGGCCAGCCAGACTTGTTAGCCTGCGGTGAGAGAGGAACTTTTTGCCGGGGCTGCTGGCGTGCCTAATAAAGGAATCTTTTGAGTTCACTTCAGAGGGTTGGTCGTGTTTGGGGAGCTGGGTCAGAACATCTGGAAAGTGAACACAGTTAGTCCAACCATCTCAACCAGAAATGGCTGGCAGAGTACAAAAAGCAAGACCACGGATGATGAAACAGTGGAGAGCCATGGCGTGTTTCTCTTTTGCTGCCTGTGAGCCCCATGCTGCCTTTTGCTTTTCCTTCATCTGTGCTACATTGTCAACCCGAGTATTACAAGGGAGGGATTGGAGGACAGAGATTCAAAAAAGCCCACCGTGATTATCCTGCATCAACAGATGTGACAATATACTTAGCTCGCCTTTTATTAGCCACTTCAAACACCCTCCTTGGAGCCCCACGAAACTGACCAGTTTGAACAAAAGGCCCTTTATTTTCCAAAAGCAGAAGGCTGTTTAATAAGGTGAGTCTTTTAACAAAGAATTAAAAATTAAGCAATATCACCACTGTGCCACCCTTTAAGACTCTTTGATTCTTCTAGGTGGCATCTGCTAATGTCAGACGCCACTGACATTCAAGTGTAATTAAAGAGAACATCTATAAATTTGCCAGCAGAATGCATCAGAATTAATGCCTTTAAAATGAATCCCCAAAGAAAGCAGTAATAGGCTGACATTTATATAACATTACCCATTCTGCCAGACATTCAATTAATACTTCCTTGGGTAGTCAGTGAAGGAACATTAATTATAATGAATCTGTTTGTATTTGTACCTACACAACAGCTAACACTAATTAATTTTACAGCAAATTAACAAGAATCATAAAGTAGTGTTTCATTTTTCTTCCTGTGCTACTGTATAATGACCGCGATCATGAGCTGGGCCACCAAAATCCTTCCTTCTAGGCAACGGGAGACGGTCAGAGCATCTGCTGATCACAAGACTCTCATCTCAAAAAGCAGTAGAAACTGCCTTCCAAAATTATTTGGCCTTTGATAACCCAGCCGTTCTATTCTCTCCCCTTTTTTCATCTAATAGTAACTATAATTGGATTCTGCCTTTCAGAACAGTATTTATCATTGCAATGGAATCTTTAAAAAAAAAAAAAACTAAAAATCAATTTTAAAACTGAAAGCAGCAATTCAATGTACAGTACAATGTGTAAGCAATTTTGGTTATTTATTTATGGTCCCAGACTAAAACTATTAGACCCAGACTCTTCTGGAAAGGTTACATACAAATTTGAAATATTAACGTATTAATGAACTGAAGCCTTGGATGGCAACACATCTTTGCCAGGTGTCAGGTGTGGAGAGTAGGGGAGAGGTCTTCCTCCAGAGATTTTGCTATCGCAGGAAGGGAAGAGCCCAGAGGTGAGATTCAGCCAGTTCGGACCAGTTCTGGAGAACCGGTAGCAGAAATTTTGAGTAGTTTGGGGAACTGGCCAATCCCACCTCTGACTGGCCCCATCTCTTCTCTGCCTCCCATTGAGTCCCAGCTGATCGGCTGGGTCTCCTTTGGTTGCCCTGCACAGGAGAACAGAGCTGGAAAGCAGGTTAGTGGGGTGGGGAGGAAATGGGGATTTTGCGGTATCCTTCCCTTCCATGCCCATAAAACCACACCATGCCCAAGCCATGCCTGCAGAACAGGTAGTAAAAGAAATTTGAATCCCACCACTGGAAGAGTCTCTGACATTTCCTGATGAAGTCCCTGGCAAAAATCACACCCATAACATATCAAAAGGTCAAGAATATTTTTAAACGGGACATTTCTGGGATATTTCAGACATAGACTAAAGAGCTGAATTTTTGATAAAACCGCAGCCATGGCTTCATGTCCTTGAAAATATGAAAATGGTACCAACAGATTGGAGATGATGGTTGGCTTATCAAAAAATTATATTTAGGGTGTGTTGGACTCCCCAGAAAATGTCAATATCAAATGCTGAGGGTTAGGAAAATTTGAGAGGTCCCTGATACAGAGGACCTGGTTATGTTACCATTTAATCTTTTGGGGATAAAGTAGATTAATATATTTATGGGAAATCTTTAAATGTTAAAGTTGTTAATGTAATGTTGAATCATAAAACAAAACTATGGAATTTGACTGTTTTATCAGGAATTATGGTTGTATCAAGCAGGCAAAAAGAAATTGGAAAAATCATATTTCAGATATCAAGGAAGGGTTGTCAGAAATGTGACAGAAATATAGGAAAAAACAATGTTTTCAACTAATCAACAGATGCAGTAATATGTGTTATTATGTCAAACATTCTGTCATATTTTACAATAACGACTTTCATGGTTCCTATTATAGTATTGAATTCATTGCCAAACCAGTAACTGTTGATGAATATAAAATATTTGCAATTTTTTTTTCTTTCCTTCTTAGTCTGCATTTTTAATTTGTACTTTTAATTCTTTTAAAGCTTTTTTTTTCTTTTTAGGATTAAACATTGCCTTGTTACAAAAATAAAACGGGGGTGGGGAGGCTGATACTCCACTCCTATCATCCCCTTAGGACTCATCTCCTGTGAAAATACAGGCCCAGCAGTTCTCTGCTCAAAAACAGAAATGTCAAGGCAACAACTGGAATATCAATGTGAGGAATAACTTACCATTCTGCAATCTCAGGATGGAGAATTGTATTGTTTACTGTAAACCTACGGGAGAAAAAAAGAAAAGGTAAGAGAGAAATAAAAGTTAACTCTATTAGTGGCTCATCTGGAATTTATTTCTGATCAGGAATTCATACAAAACTTGTACTAAAAAATAACCCTGGTCTCGACATATGCAGAGTAAAATGCCATGGATAGGATACGTTTTCATTTAATGCAAAGAAGGACTAGGGGGCAATAGGATGGCAGTCTTCCAATATCTCAGGGGCTACCACAGAAAAGAGGGGATCAACCTATTCTCCAAAGCACCTGAAGGCAAGACAAGAAACGAAGGATGGAAATGAATCAAGGAGAGAAGCAACCTAGAACTGAGGATAAATTTTCTGACAGTTAGAACAATTAATCAGTGGAACCACTTGCCTCCAGAAGCTGTGAATGCTGCAACACTGAACGTTTTTAAGAAGAGATTGGACAAAAATTTGTCTGAAGTGGTACAGAATATCCTGCCTAAGCAAGGGGTTGGACTAGAAGATCTCCAAAGTCCCTTCCAACCCGTTATTCTGTTAGACCTCCAAATAAATCCCCCCTTGCAGAATAATTTGCAATGTTAGGGATACAACAAGGAAAGAGAAGAGAGAACCAGAATATGCTGCAGAGAGAAAATGCTCCCTTGACATCCTTCTTGCTGCCATAGAAAACTAGATTTAAGTCCGGGAATTCTGCTAGCAAGCTTTCTCGGATAGTTTCCAAACCCCGCCCCAAACCAGCAATGACCAGTGGCAACAACAAAAATATGAAATGGTATGTGGGAATGGCCTTGGGAAAGAGAGGGCTGGAGGAGAAGAGATGCTGCCCAGAGGATGGTCAGATCAGAGAACGCATAGCCCGCAGCTGCACGATGAGCGGAGAAAGAGGCTGAGAAGGGACACACACGCTTTGAGTTCTCCAGCTGTTATGGAGATGGCGGGAGGTTTGTACTTTCAGATTTGCAAGATGCAGGTAAGGTTGCCTTCCAAGGAAGTAGAATTAGCTCACCTGGCCTTATTTCTTGCTGGTTTAGCTGGGAGCGCTGACACAAAACAGCCATTTCCTTGAAGGCAAATGGGTGAGGTACTTGCCCACCATCCCACCAGCTCTGTGAATACATTTATTGCTCTGTTGGGAAGAGCCTGGGTTTTTTTCCTAAACAAAGGGTGTCCTTCTTTCCCCACGGACTCTTTCTTTCCAAGGCTGCTGTGGATGAAAGGCTTAACCAAGGAAAACAGCTCTCAGGGCTCGTCTGTTCTCTCCTCGGTGCCATGCTACTGTTCCCATCCTTTTTCAAACCAAAGAACCGAAGATGTGTAGTGAGGAGGAGAAGCGGCTGGAACAGCTGCACGCGGAATTTGCCCAGGGAAATCAGTTTTTTTTCTGCAAGACTTTGCAGAGGAATAGTGGGAGAATTGGGACATTATGGGTGGGAATGTTCGAGCATCTACCCTGTTTCCCCGAAAATACAATCTACCTTGAAAGCAAGTCCTAGCTTGATTTTGACACATGTGCCCAATATAAGCCCTATCCCCCAAATAAGCCCTAATTAAGATCCTTCCCACTCCAGGTAAAAATTAAGCTTGAGTGGGGATGAGGGGGTAGAGCTGCGCTACTACCTATCTTTGGACAGTTGCAGCCAAGCCTCGCACACCCCGACACCCGCCTTGCCGGCCCATTTCTTCTGCAGCCGGCCAGGCTAGCAAGGCTTTCCTGAAGGCCTCTGGAGCTGATATAACAAAGCTCTGGATCGATCCAGAGCTCTGTTATCAGCTGCAGAGGCCTTCAGGAAAGCCTTGCTGGCTGCAGAAGCAGCAGCTCCCGAAGGCCTCTGAGAACGAAAAGGAGGCCAGGGGGCGACGCACGCAAGTGAGGTTAGTCAGTGGATGACATCCCCCCAAAATAAGACCTGGTGCCATTTTTGGTGGCAAAAAAATTATAAGGAGGAGTCTTATTTTGGGGAAAACAGGGTAGGAACTTTGTGCAGCAACAAGTATTTAGGCAGGTCACAAGCCTTCAGTGCTCACCCAAGGCACAATTGACCAGGTTCAAATCATCCTACTTTATGTAAACACATTATGTGAAAACCCTCGTCTTTTGAAAAAGGTTTTAATCTAGGAAGTCCTCAACTTTAGACCACAATTGAGCCCAAAATTTATGTTGCTAAGCAAGATATTTGTTAGGTGAGTTTTGCCCCATTTGACGACCTTCCCTGCCACAGTCGTTAAGTGAATCACTGTAGTTCTTAAGTTAGTTAACACAGTTGTTATGTGAATCTGGCTTCCCTGTTGACTTTGCTTATCAGGCGGTTGCAAAAGATAATAGCTTGACCCCAGGACATTGGAGCCATCATAAATACCAGTCAGTTGCCAAGCATCTGAATTTTGACCATGTGATTGTGTGCAACAATTGTGTGTAAAACGGTCATAAGTCACCTTTTTCAGAGGCATTTTTACTTGAATGGTCCCTAAATGAACTGTTGTAAGTCAAAGACTACCAGTGCTGGGGAAAGTAGAAGGAAAGAGAAGAAGAGGACAACCAACAGCAAGGTGGATGGACTTGGTTATGGTGGCGATGAATGCACCATTGGGAGGCTTGAAAGAACAGATCAGAGGTAGATCATCACGGAGATATATTCATCTATCTATGTCAAAGGTGTCAAACTCAAAGCCTGTGTGGTGCTTAGATCTGGTCCATGGGCTGCTCTGAAAACAGCAAAGGCTTGCGGTGCCTCTGCCAGCGAAAATAGGGCTGGGGGGAGCACTCCCTGGGCTCCATTTTCACTGGCAGAAGGCTAGCAAAACAAACTAAAAACTAAACAAAAGGAGAAATGCTTCCCCTTTTGCATTTGAGCATGCAAGAAGGGACAGGAAAGGAGAAAGGGAAAGAGGAAAGACAAAGAAAAAGAAGGGAAGATGGGAAGAGAGTGAGGAAGGAAAAAGAAGGAAAGAGGGGAAAGAATAAGAAAGGAGAATGAAGAGGAAAGGAAAAAGAAGAGAAGGAAGGAAGGAAGGAAGGAAGGAAGGAAGGAAGGAAGGAAGGAA